CCAACCTTTCAGTTAGGAGCATCAGCACTGTTCTGAGGCTTTCTCAGCATTGGCATTTCTCCTGTCAGGCTGCAGGCGAGAACTCAGCCTCTCGGGCCACACCCAAGTCTCCACGGTGTGGTCACTGTAACTCTAATATTACCCACCCAGGAGAAGGAGTGGGACTGACATGTCAGAAAACCACGGAGCTAAGCCATCACTGGCTGTTGTCTTCACCCCTGGACGATCACCAGCCTTCTTGAGGGTCATGATGCATGGAAATCTCAGCCTTGATTGTGAGGATGTCTCAAAGGGCCCCATTCTGACTCTCACTGTCCTGGGATTGTTGGCTTCAAAAGAACCAGTTTATTCGTTCTTGGTAGAAAAATACACAAACATACAGCCATTCATAGTTCCTGCTCTGGTGGCCTAGTGGTAAGGAATTGCTCTACGAACCAGAAGGCATCTGGTTTGAATCCGCCCGCTGCTTCACGGAAGGAAGATGGACAGTGTCCTTTGGTGTGATTTACCGCCTCTGAAAACCCACTGGAAGGTCAGCTAAGAGTTGGTTCTGAATCAGTGACTCTTAATAACAACACGACTGTGGACAGTGCAGCAGTGTGAGTGGTGCTGTGTTGGTGTACACAAGCCCTCTCACACCTGCACTCACACTGCAGGACAGAGCAGCAGTGTGGGTGGTGGACAGTCACCTCTGTGGTACTGTCTTTACAACTGCCACACATTAAAGTTTTGGTGTGTGAAACAGAGTAAAAGTTGGTTTGGGTTTGTGGGGTGTTTTTTCCTATTAAAGTGCCTCAGTGGTTAAACGATAAGGGGTGGGGTCACAGTGCAAGCAAGGGTGTTATGGGGCAGCATTATGAAGCGCATGCTCCGTCCACGTTGCCCTCAGCCGGCAGAGCCCTGGCTCGAACCCTTCTCTTACGATCAGCTGGGGTTGCCCCTTTACCATGTGGCTCGCTCCCCACCGCTCAGGCTCTGGATGGACGCTGAAGTTGCGCAGAGACGTCCTCCTCTTGGCCATGCGGGCAGTGGCCCAGCACTGAGACCGCACTCCGAGCGCTCGGGTCAGGCGACGCGGGTCAGGGCTCCCCTTCCTCGGCTCCACGCACATTTCCTCATGGAGTCCCGACGCCTTGGCTGCTGGTTGGGTGTTGACACACTTGGATGAGGATCTCCCACGGGGCGCATTTTACCTGCCTCCCCCCCGGAGTGTGTCCACTTGGACAGAAGCCCCACTTCCCATTAATTAGACTCTACCTCTTAACATTCATGTTTGTACTTCACGTGGGGAACTGTTGTCTTACAGTTGTAATTCTCTGAAATTGAGCACATTAATTGGTCTAGTTAGCAACGGCTTTCCAGGTAGTTTGGTTCACGTTCACAGTTTCCAGGCAGCAGAGGCTCTGGGCGGTTGGCTCCCACGTGAGTTTGCAGCTCAGCTCTTGCTTCGCCCTCCTGGCCACAGGCCATTTGTTGGACCTCCGGTCAGTGTGTTCAGCAGTGGCAGCTGGACAGCACTGAGCGCTCCGGCCTTGCGGCCATGGAAGCCGGCATGGCTCCGAGAGGTGTTTGACCTGCGGTGTGCTTGCCGCTCCTGGTGGGGTCTCCTTCCTCTGTTCCAGACACACGGAGATCACGGGGTGTTTCGTTACAGTGCTGCCAACACCCACAAACAGCTCAAGCTGTCCCACTTGGTGTTACATGTTGGTCAGGGCAGTTTATGTATCTTAAAGACAGGGATGCTTGAGAGGCTGCCTCGGTTAGGAGTCATTCACCTCCAGATGCTGTTTGTGTACATCAAGAAATCCAGTCTTTAATAAAATCTACAAAATGGTGAACATAAATCAAATTCTATTTTTATTTTAAAAATTCTTTATTTTGCAGGTCTACTGCTAGAGAATACGCTCTGAAAATTATCAAGAAAAGCAAATGTCGAGGCAAGGTACAGATAAAGGTTCTACTTTCATACTGTCATGTTGGGGGAGGGCTAGACAGACACAGAAAGACTTGCCCCATAAAATGCAGCTAAATATCACCTAACTTTGGTAGAATATATTGTTAGGAATTTGTGACTAGAATTTAACTTTAAAAATATTCCTGAAATAAAGATTAGAATGATTAAGGGTTAGTCTGTTTCTCATCTTTGATCGATGATCTTCTTCACAAACTGTTTTCTTTTATCTCAGTGTCATCCCATCTCTCTCTAAATTTTACTCACTGTGGTAGCTTCTAAAAGCTCTCTTTTGGAAATTCCAGTCTGTCTGAGTGTTAGGATCTAAGATCCAGCCATGTGCTCCCCCCTGGCTTCTCCCCTATGTCAGATCCCTGCTGGCACCCCATGCATGGGTAGGCTCAGCACAGACTTGCTGGGCTCGCTCACCTGGGTGGGTGGAGGTTTGGCATGTCTGTCACCAGAGAGATGGTGGCACCATGACAGATTCACCTACTGGGGACCAAGCACAGGGTGGGCGTTCTCACCAGTGGGCATTAGCACCCCATGTTTTTCATAAAACGTACAGATGAAGCTTTGGTTGCCTCTTAAACAGGAGCACATGATACAGAACGAGGTGTCCATTCTGAGAAGAGTTAAACACCCCAATATTGTTCTTCTGATTGAGGAGATGGATGTGCCGAATGAGCTGTATCTCGTCATGGAGTTGGTAAAGGTAAGGGCCTGTGACAGCCATGCTACTTTGTTATCACAAAGGTGCTACTTTGTAACATTCTCCATTGCAGCGGGGTTGGGGGTGATTCTTGGCTGATGGCACAGGCAACCTTCAGTCTCTCCTTGCGTGCACTGCCAGGGGCCTTGGAGTGCTGATTCTAAAACTGCAAGGATTCGAGCCCCAGCCTTGCTATGCCTTATTCTATGGCCATGCCTAGAGGCCTGGTGTAGCTGGTGTACCAAGTCCCTTGAGTATAAAAGGAGGGTAAAACCAAACCCGTTGGTGTCAAGTTCATTGCCACTCCTGGCAGCCCTGCAGGCCTGAGGAGCACAGCAGACTTCCAATGCTGGGAGTCTGTGTGGAAGCAGACTGAGTCATCTTCCTCCAGAGTGGCTGGGAGTGGTCAAGCGGCTGGACTCTTGATTAGCAGCCCCACACTTACCCATTGTACCCCCAGAGTTCTTAGTTCATCACAGTCCATATTAATAGATTGCATTCAGAGGAGCTGCTGGGCACAACTTTTTGCTTCAGTTTCTTGGAGTTTGACTCTCAAGAAGCCAGATTGTGCCCACCCTGAGCTTTGTGGGCACCTGGGAGGACAGGTGAGATGGGTCACCTACATGTTGGGGACAGGAGTGACTGGGACCCCACAGAGGCTCTCCCGTGTGGCCCTTGGCTCCTGGGCTGGCAGCCCCAGCCATCTCCAACGCCCTGCTCTGTCCCCAGGGGGGAGACCTATTTGATGCCATAACCTCCACTAATAAGTACACGGAGCGGGATGCCAGCGGGATGCTGTACAACCTGGCCAGCGCCATCAAGTACCTGCACAGCCAGAACATTGTACACCGTGACATCAAGCCAGAGAACCTGCTGGTAAGATGACCCTCCACGCCCAAAGCCAGGCCAGGTGGCCTCCGTCCAGCCCAAGGTGTGTGTCACTTCCCACATTTGTGGGGAAACGCAGTGCCACACATACCAGTTCACCACTGTTTGCAGACACACCACTTGGTGAGGCGGGTTGTGTTCTCAACACACCATCCCACTCTCCCAAATTGTTTCTTCCTTGTTAAGATAAACACCCTGCCCCCGGCTTCCTGTCAGACCCCCAGAGCTGCCAATCAGATGATCCCACAGGGACAGCTCTTTAAAGTCTGTGCACTCACAAAGGTGGTTCCTGAAAGGGCCCTGGGGCCTTCCACAGAGCCAAGCATCCAGGACCGGCGTGCTTTCCTGAGCTGAGCTAAGCTGGTTTTGGTTTCTGGAAAATGTGAGCAGAGGCTTTTAGCTGACGATTTAACAGTTACTTCAGGTCACTGGTTTGAAGAGCTTGCCAGCCTCCTGCGGCAGAAGCTCTGGATTCTGTGAAAATTCGGCACTGTGTTCTGCAAACCCAGGGATTCGTCATGAGGCACCAGGCATGAGCTTAGAGCTCAGGACTGTGGTCAGCACCTTTGGCTGAAAGGACAGGCAGTGACGAGAGCGATCGTACACACACATACATTGTTTATAGCATTTTTATACTAGAACATTTTCGCCTGGGAGGGGCAGTGAGGCAGAAGAAAGCTGTTTCAGAATTTCTTAGGTTCTCCACCTTACATCTTAGACTTTTTTATCTAAGGAGCTTTGCATAGTGCAAATGGTTAATGAAAGTTCCACTCCCTCCATGGGTGCCTGAGGGAAGGCGTCCCAACGCTGGTGATGGCCCTGGGTCAGCTTCAACAGGGCATGAATCTCCAGGCTCAACACAGCTGCAGCCAGTGGGCGACACTGTAATCCGAAAGAAAGACCATGCTGGGTTTAAAAGACACCCCCTCCTCCCCTGCCTCTCTCCCAAGCATGGAATAATCATGAAGAAGCAGTCTCAGATCCAGGAATGTGCTGTCTAGGGCAGTCTGCTCTCTGTCTGTGGGCTCTGTCTCCCTGAGAGAGGTTGTCCAGGGACCCCAGCCCAGTGCAGCCCTGCTGATGCCATGAGTTAAGTTTTGGGGTGCCCACTGAAAAGTCAGTGCTTTGAACCCATCCAGCTGAAGTGTGGCCAGGGAAAGCGGTCGAGGGCTGCTGTGTCAGGATGGATGTGCGGCCATGGGCTCAGCTTCCCAGTCGGCTGTGATTGAGAGGGGCTCCTATAACGTGGGAGTCCAACAGGGTGGGAAAGCTCTGCCCGCAGGGTCCACTGTAAGTCAGAGACGGTTAGGGAGCAGGGGTTCCAGCTCAGCACTGTGGGGACAGGAAGGGGAGTAGGTGGGGTGCTGAGAAACCAGGATGAAGAACCTCTGGGAAATACAGGATAGCTTTGCTGGCCACTGGGCTGGGACCTTACCCTTACAGTGCCTCTGCTGTCCTCCATGGGCTCATGCTCCCTGTGACCCCAGCCCTCTCATGACTTGACCCCCTCCAGAAAGCCAGGCTTCCTTCTCAGGCATCTCTGCTTCCTATGGTCCAAGGATGTCAGCGTAAGAGTGATTCCCAAGTGCTGCTCAGAAACATGGGCGTGTGGGCCCCCTTCCCCCAGGTCAGAACCGACACCAGCACAGGGCTCACACTGCCGCAGACACCCCGGCATCCATGGCTGTGACTCTCAAGCATCCTGAAGCACTCTAAGGCAGTGTGCTGTGACCCAGAGCCTGAGGCAGCTGCCCTGTCCAGTGTCAGCTCAACTACAATGGATGTATATTATCCAGAGACCCCAGGACAGCACTTTCCTGTCCTCAGGGATCAGTGGGTATCAGGTCTTTGGACATCAGAATCTGTTGAGGATAGTGTGACGCTTGCCATCCATCCAGAATCATCTGTGCGCTCGCCAGCCCCTCCCCCAGCGTGAGCCCCCTTCGCCCTGTGGATGCAAAAGTCTAGAATGGCAAACCCACAGCTGCCGAGTGGCTTTGAACACACAGCACCTGCAGGACAATGAATGGCCAGGGGCTTCAGCACTGTCCTCCGTGGAAGTGGCCTTCCTCATCCTCCCTATAAAGCAGCTAGTTCCATGGCTTTAACCAAAGGCACGCCAGGGCTGCTAACCATGGGTGTGTGTGATCTTCAGAAGACTCCTGGTGACACAGTGGGTAAGCAGAAGGTTGGGAGTTTGAACCCCCATTCCAAGGAAAGTCCTGGCAACTGGCTCTGGACAGATGGCCGCTGAGGAGCTGCAGGGTCTTCTACTCCGTTGGTGGATTGTGGCTCAAATCAGATCCACCTCTGTGTCCCAGGAAAAGCTAAATCCTGATGCAGTTCTGCCCACCTTCAGACCCAAGCTCTGGACCAGGTCCGTAGGGTCAGTAAAATACTCTGCACGGTGACCCCAGAACAGCCAAGCAGAGTCCCACCTGGTCCTGTGTCAGCCTCACAGTTGCTGCTGAGTGTCTCTTGTCAAGGCTTCTCTATCTCACTGACCCTGTGCTTCACGAAACATGGTGTCCACCAAGGGCTGGAGGGCCAAGCACTGGAGGCCTCGCTGTCTCCCTCCTAAGGAGCAGCCTGAACCTTGTTCAAGAGAGGAGCTCATCCCTTAGGGTCCACGTCGGATTCGTCCCCCAGACACAGAGCAGCTGTCCTTGTTCACTGTTCATCAGCCGCCCTTATTCACTGTCCAGCACGCGCGTGCGTGTGTGGGTGTGTGTGTGTGTGTGAGAGAGAGAGAGAGAGAGAGATTGAAAATACCCTGGCTTGGCTTGGGCCAGATGCACCTTAGTTCCTAAGGGGACATCGTCACTTTTGAACACTTTGAAGAAGTCTTTTGCACCAGATGTGCCCAGTGTAAGATGCTCTTTGATCTTAAGCCTGCTGCTTCCATGGGTGTAGATTGTGGATCTAAGTAAAATGGATCCCTGACAGCTTCTGTTCACTGAACACATATCCCATTCATTGGGAAATGTCATGAGGCTGTGAATGAGGGAGGGAGATTATTGAGGGCTTGTCCTGGGTGGATGCATCCAGCAAAGAAGGAATCTGGGTGCCTCTGTGGAGCTGACCATCAGCAGGGGACCTGGGCATTTAATAACCACACCAGCAATTACTGGTGCATGGTAATTGTTCACAGACTTGCAGCTGCAAGCTAGTGAGCCTGCCGGGGTCAGATGGTCACCCTGGGACTTAATCCCCTGGTGGCCACATGGCCTGCGGCAGCCTGGACAACCCCTTCTGTGTAGTTGCCTGTCAGTGGTGAGCTGTTCCCTGCTGCAGTCATTATCCGGCGTCTGGAGTCTGTGTGATAGGAACATCAGACAGGAGTACAAGGAGACTTTTGTCTACCGGCCCCCCTGGCCTCTGAGAAGCAGCGGTGGGGAGAAAGGCGTCCTGTCCCAGGCAGCACCCCGCTGTGTCCCCCACTCATTCTTGCTCACTTGTCGGTCCCATCCACTTCAGCACTTACTCAGATTCCTTCCCACGAGAAGGGCTTGCCTGCCTGCATCTCCATTCTCCAGTGCAAGAATGGGAAGCATGTGTCTTACGTGAATGAATGTTCCACATTCTCAAATAGAGAGATGGGGGTGATGGAGGTGAGATGAGATAGTGGAGATGGAGATGAGATGGAGGTGGTGGAGACGAGTGAGACGATGGAGGTGGAGATGTGATGAAATGGAGATGGAGATGGTAGAGATGAGATGAGATGGAGTTGGAGACGAGATGGGATGATGGAGATGTGATGAGATGGAGGTGGAGACGAGGTGTGGTGGGGACGAGGTGTGGTGGGGACGAGGTGTGGTGGAGACGAGGTGTGATGGGACGAGGTGTGGTGAGGATGAGATGTGATGGGGACGAGATGTGGTGGGGACGAGGTGTGGTGGGGATGAGGTGTCGTGGAGATGAGATGGAGGTGGTGGAGGTGAGAACAGATGATGGAGATGGAGGTGGTGGACACGAGATGGAGATGGAGATAAGATGGGATGATGGAGACGAGATGGGATGGAGGTGGAGACGAGGTGTGATGGGACGAGGTGTGGTGGGGACGAGGTGTGGTGGGGATGAGGTGTGATGGGGACGAGATGTGGTTGGGACGAAGTGTGTACATCTCACTTGCATGGCCAACCTCAGTGTTTCTCTCGAGGTACTGAATTGGTGAAAATGCAAACTACGTGGTTTTGAGGACACAATCTCTACTTTAAAACCAGCCATCTGTATAATAATTTTCTTCCTTTTTATCTGCATACCTGTGGGCCTTGGGGCTTAGTAGCAGCCTGACAGCTCTGAGGTGGCTGCTGCTTGTTTTTCTAGGAAAACCCCAGTGGGCTCATTTGAGACAGGATCACTGTGGAAAGCAAATGCAGAGCCACTGAGTGGACACTGACTCATGGCGGCCGCGATAGCACTGCTGCCCGTGGGGCATCCAGGCTCTTGTCTTTAACAAGAATCAGATCTCTCTTGCTGAGCAACAGATGGGTCTGAACCAGTGACCTTCCCATTAACAGACCATCACCTCATCCATGGCACTACCAGGGCTCCTGTGAGCTGTGATGAACCCACCCATGATCTGCCTTTGCCCTGATCTCAACTCCTAGCAACCCTCCATCAGGCGTGTGAGGCTGTGGGTCATTGTGGGAGGTAAATGCTTATCTTCCTCAAGTTACTGCTTGTGGATTTGAACTGCTGACCTTCTAGTTTTCAGCCTGGTATGTTATGCCCGGTGCCACCAGTGTGCTTTATATTCCATGATAGTATGTGCTAATTTAGGACTAAAAAAACCCTTTTGTTTACTTTTAAAAGCTATTTTACTAGGGTCAGGAGGGCAGTGGGTGGTCAGACCCCACTCATTTGCTCCACACAAGAATAGCCTGAGGTCAGCTTCTGTGAAAAGCTGCTGGCAGCCATGGATTCCCTCCCAAGGTGACCCGGTAAGACAGCAGACCCACCCCAGAGGTCCAAAGCTTGCAGAAGCA